GAACGGGCACCTCAAGAACACAAACGTTCGAAAGACAATGTACCAGCTCCTCACTATCAACGTACTAATCATTGCCATGGATATCGCCTTGCTCAGCGTCGAATTCGCCAACCTGTACCTCATCGAGACCACCCTGAAAGGCGTCGTATACTCCATCAAACTCAAACTCGAATTTGCCGTCCTGGGGAAACTCATCCAACTCGTGCGCGTCCGAGCCGAATCCGATCAGAGCATGAACAACGCCTACGCACGCGGTAACAGCTTCGAACGCCGGAACACCCTGACGCTGGAAAAGACACAAAGTGGTACAGCGAGTGTGGGCGCATCGGCGAGACTCAACGGCAGCCTGCTCACGCACGACTTTGGCGGATCGCAATACCCCGACTTTGTGGATCCCCGACGCATCAGCCCGAACGTTACGCATGCGGAACCGGTGAATGGCGAGACTGGGTGGGAGACGCGAGGGCAGCAGGAAGATCAGGATAAGTGGAGGAGGCGGGTTAGAGTCAAGCGGGGGAGCTGGATCGATGAAGAGATGGACAAGCATAATATTGGGTGAAGTGGCAGTCTATACCCGACGGGTTGACATGCGGATCTCGACTTGCGTACGAACAGTACTCCGCCCGTCTCATCACAGACCAAGTGAACTTCGCACCGTTCTGTCGTATGCCCGGACATGGGTAGTACAACACTACACGATGTCCACCGGTGCATCGATATCGGAGTGGAGTACTTGCGCCATTCACACTACGAGATCATCGTCGTGGATTCTCCGTCCTAAGTACGACGATCTCTCAACAGATCCGATACGTCTCGACGTCTCAACCAGCAACCTTGATGCTATGTATCATCACCTTCCGTATCATTCTAGACGTCGGAAAACTGTCTCCAACATAGTTGCAGATGATACTACTGTAAGCTCCACACGATGGCATCTGCCCTACCCAACAACCGAAGGAAACGTTTTGCTACATCAGCTGGACCCAAGGTGAGGCACTGGAAGGGGATTTCCGCGACGCCTATCATCAGAGTCTGGAAACGATGGCAGTTGGAATGGGATTCTTGTGAGGAGTTCATCAGGATCCGTGTGTGCACGCTCTATCCAGGACTGAGCTTGAGTTTCAAGCGTCGTGCTTGGAAGACACACTACATAGATTTAGCCTAATTCACGGGTACTCATTCGTATGTAGTATCCAGTAGATAGACGTCTCATCTTACATACAAACAAGAAATAGCATGTTCTAATTACCCTGACAGTTAATGCTTCATGGCATTCCCTCTCGATTGACAAATTTCATTGATATTTTGTCATGTAGAACCTAAGCTATGGGAGACGGAATATTAATTTGACAAATATGGTGATGTTGATGTATGCGGGCACAACACCGAGTAGGAACGCTGTTTACAAAATGGCAATACAGGCGTGCTGTCTACGAACCTCGTGGTAACCGCAACGAGACGCCGTATATCCCTGTTAGCCATACTGCGGAAATGACATTCTACCCAAAGAAGCACGTATATTCTAGGTTTAGTATACTACCTCATGCCTCCCTTGTGTCTCACCTGCAGCCATCATCACCCATACGATAATATGTTGCACGGTATGTTCTATTTAATTTAGCTAGCTATCCCGCGACTCTCTAAACCTCTATAGTACTGCAGTAACGCGACGCAGACGAGCGACTCACAACTTCCGAAATCCATATATACCCATTCAATCAGGTCCTCTCGAAAAGAGAAGTATCGTCAACACAAGAGCTTACGTAATGCCTGCTGTCTGCGGTAAGGTCACGCATCTCACTGACACATCCATGTGGTGCCAAATGCTACCAAGGATTCTCAGCCGAAGAGGAACTAGGAAAAGCTGTCGGGACAGTAACAACTGTGCTGCTGAACTAACAAAAGACACGGTCCGATCTAGAGACAACTAGACAGTAAAGTCTCTTTAAAAGAAGTTAGAGTCTACCTTTAGTTGCGCAAAAGATATACCATGAAAGCTATAGGGGTTTTAGTATGCCTCATTTTATACTAACAGACTTTAACTTTACGTATTTTCTTTTAATATGCAAAACACCAAGCATCCTGAAGGCTGTCAATCATCATAGCTGCAACGACAAGATATACTATTAGCATGAAGTCATCATTAGTCATGATGCTCAGGTCTTAGGCAGACATTAATTCGTAATCCAGTACTGAAGTAAACTACTCAAACACGTGGAGTTCAAGGGGGTATCATGCAACTCATCAACTGTCTCCCCAACACCAAATCTCTCTAGTTCAAGGCAAAAGCTTTTGCTCAAACTCATGTCGCTCGCGGTACTTAGCCAGAGCGATCGGAACCTCTCCACTGTAGCCCAGCTCGCCCTGCGCCTTCTCCAACTTCCTAGTCACTTTGCCGACAAGCCGAGCGATCCAACGATCGTTGGCCATGGCGTGTACCGTGTTCTGGCCAGCTTTGCGCATGCCCACCATGGTCTTGTTCGACGCATCCTTGAAGCCAGAGTCCACCTTCTTTAGGAATGCCTTGAAGCCATTGTCGTCATTGGCGTTCAGTGTGGTCCCTGAAACTTCGCTGCTGTTGGTGTTGACTGATGCAAGACTACTAGCTTCGCTATCAGACGTGGTGACACGTCTCAGCTCGCGGAGGACCTTGGCCTCCTCAAAGTCCTTATCCGACTCGATGACTTTGGTGGCTTTAACAATTGCGGCGACAAAGTTAAGAAGGTCTTGGTGGAACTGTGCCGGGAGATGGGCATGTGCGTTGACATGCATAGAAGCCTCGTCTCTCTTCAGCTTCCCGAGCTCTTTAAGATCCCGCACCTGCTTCGGGGTAGGCTCGGCTTCTTTTATGGCAGATTCCATCTCAAGCAGGTCGAAGTCGCTCTTCTTCTCCGGGAAGATGTGCTCATGGTGGGGAAACAGGAATGTGGGAATCGTGAGAACAGCATCCGCACCTCCTAATCGTACAACTTGCTTAAGTTCGACGGCATCCGGAAGAATCCTGTAAGCCATGACATCGGAGATCTTGAAGTGGGTCGTGATGTTGTAATTGGTGTTGATGGGGAAGTGGGCTTCGCTAGCAATCGGGCCCAATTCCACAGCGAAATTGGCATCTGCGCACCAGGCTGATATCCGCGCTTCCAATCTACGAATCTCGGCATCTTGGGCTGAGTAATGCTTGAAGAAGTATTTTTGCATCAAGACAGTGAACCACTTTCCTGAGCCAGCTGCAGTGACGGACTTGAACTTGACAGGATGGAAGTAGCAGATGGGGCTGAGCATCAAGCGGTAGAGGAAGGGTAGCCGATGTAAGAACTTCTTTACATTTGGGTACGATGTTTTGCGAAGAGTGGAGACTCTGATCGATTTGGTCGGTGGGTGAGGTATCGAGGGTTGCCCGTGGATCTGGGTACAAATCGCTGCCCGGAAATCATCGAGGTTTTCGATATCCAAGCGCACTCCCGGTTCTTCTTTTGACTTCTTCGTGTTTTTGGTGTCCTTTTCGTCATCGGTCAAGCCAGCCTCCGCTCGTGCCTTCGAGGCCTCTATCAGCATCTCCTTTGCTTTTGTAATGGCGCTCGTGTCGTTGATATAGCGAACCAGCTCTTTGTACTTTGTGTGGGCGCGCTCCTCATCTGGTGAGATCTTCTTGACGGATGAGAATGCGGATTTGGTGTCTTCAGCCTCAGTCGGTATTTTCCCCGCAGTCAGGTTTCTGACCATATCAGCCGGACGGCCGTTGGCGTTGCCTTTCATCGTTGCCGCTCTGAGAATGGCAGTGTTGGTGACGACTACAGATTCGTCGTCATCTGGTTCTGGAACGCCGTACTGTACGTCTCCAAAGGTGACTTCCCAATCCCCACCCTTCACATTCGCATACACATCGTCGACGGTTATCTCGCGGAAGAGGGGTACGACGACTTTGTCAACTTGAATGCCGAGTTCAATGTCGTCAGCTAGCTTTATCCCGGCTTCAACTCCATGAGCAACAAGTGTCATCGTGGACAGTGAGAGCGTGACTCCTCGGACGACGAAAAGTCCCTTGACTTCAGTGTCAATCTCAAGAGCAGGCAGGTCGAAGAAGGCTATCTGATCGTTGATAAAGTGTAGGTCTCGTAGGAAAGTCTTTCGTAGCGTGCGACGCGCCAGTGCAGCAGGTGCTTCGAATTGGAAGAGGCAGGTGATGAAGAGTACAGGCCAGCAGAGGGACCAGAATACCCAGTACAGAAGCCATGATGTGGCGCATACTGCGTAGATGAAGTTGACAGTTGCAAATATGGTCCAGACGGGAACGAAGGGTAAGATACGATGGCCATAAGCCTCACCTAGTAAGATGGCGTAGACAAGTATGGGCGCTCCAGAGATAACCCAGCGTAGCGGCCAGGAGAGAGTAAGGGCTGCCAAAAGAGTGGCAGTGAGAAAGGCATCCGGTATTAGTCTACTGGTAAGCTCGCGTTTGCGTTCTGGCTCAAGCGAAGGCCCAGGTGCAGTCGGCGAGGGGACAGGTTTTCGCTTGGAAGCAGCCGGCGCTTCACGTCTCGGGGGTGAATCCATGCCTTTGAGGCTCCGGAAGGTAGAGGGGTAAGGTCAGAGGGAGTAGAGAATCCGAGGGAGAGAATGCATCGTGTTTGTGGAAAATGACCTAGTGCAGGCGCGGTCATCCAAGCCCTGGAGCAACTCGGCTCTGTTGGTGTGACGTCATGTCCACTGCCGTGTTCGGACTACCCCCGCACCCAAAGCAGAAGGAACAATGTGAGCCAGACCTGATTTGTCGCAGGAGAGGGCATGATGGCTGCCGCGGTTGGCCAAGATGTGCCTGTATAACCGTTGGATCACCGCTTCCACCTGTCGATCGATTGTCCTGAAGCCCAGGTTTCCATGTATTGAACGGTGACGTAAACGCGCTAGTAGCTCATTGGTCACGTCTGCAGGAACGGAGGTTTACAATGAAGGGATTAAACAGGTCTCTAGCACCCGAGAATGATTTCATTCGGGTTCTATCATGTACGGCCTGGCGGGATTCCAGACCAGGTCCCATTCGAGAACCACGTACCCGCTCTCGTAAAGTCGCTATATGCTACGTTGCCAAACAGTTGATAACTGATGAAGCCAAACCTGAAGTACTCATCTTTCCCGTCATCCGAACGACTCCAGGTGTAGTTTCCTGTGTCGCTTCCACCAGAGCCCCGGTGCCTTTCCACATCGTTGACCACCACGCTGACGCCTTGATATCCGCGGAGTAGACTCTCCCATGCGAATGTGATGCTCGAACCATTCACGATTGGCTCCAGAATAGCTGGGATACCAGATCCGAGCTGGCCATCCCCTCTCAGCGCCGCTGCTGTCTGCAGTATAGAGTCGAAATCCCATCGTGCAATACCGTTGACGAAGAGTCCAACGAGCAGGCCTTGACACAGCAAGCTCACGCGTGTCTGCAGCGCAGTACCTGGAAGGAGTAGGAGAGCGATTATGTAGTGGTGTATCCTAAGTGTAAGCTTCGGCATAGCTGCAAGGATACCCAGCCCCAGGCCTAATGTAGCGTATAGTGCAAGATAGCGTGGCAGTCGCCCTTCCTTACGGAAACACCATGCTTGGTACAAAACGACGGCAAACAAAATCAGCACGATAATCACTAATGCTGTGATAGCACCGGGCTGTTGTCGGATATCGTTTCCTGTAAGCCGCTGTATGGGTATACGCTCAAATGTATAATTACCCAGTGCGCCAACCCAGGCACCGCCTACCCAGAGTATGGTCTTTTCGATTTGCGCCCTGCAATTACGCAGAGACTTGCGAACACTGAACTGATAGAAGAGGGCAGCAGCCAACGCCGCAGGCAAGAAGCGGCCAAGTGTTGTAGAGGCCAAGGAAGCGTAGTTTGAGTACGAGGGCGGGTCTGATGCCATGCCGGTCTGGAAGAACAGAATCGTAAAGACGGGGGCAAAGAACGTCGCAGGGCTCGTGGTGAAGATGCCGAACAGAGCAGTGAAGATAGTCGAGAGGATCAGCAGATTCCAGCGCGGGTCTTCGCATTTGGCCGAAGCCTCGCCAAAGGTAAAGGACATTGGAAAGTGCGAGTCGAAGCCAATGCTGCTGATGCCATGTTGTGTCACAGCGCCGAAGCTGTCGCGCTCTCCCACCAACGAGAGAACACCGCAACCGCCGCTGCCATCGCTGATTACTCCAGCGTGGATGGCCGCTGAGCATATGAACGAGTCCCCGCGATACACAAGCCCATCGTCCTGGGCATCCGGCGTGCCGCCAACCACCAGGGATCGATAGTTTATAACCTGCGGACCGATTGCGCGAGGGTTCAGGACTTGGGCGCTCGAGCAACCGGCGGGGCAGACGAAGGCGAACGAGGCGTTGGAGAAGGGGAAGCAGTTGCGGCCGTCGGGTCCGCAGCTCTCTGGAGAAGGCCTGGCGACGATCAGTACAGTCATCACGGCTTCGCGTACAAGAGGAGAGGCCCTACCACAGGTTGTTGACACACGACAGCTTGACAGGCGCCCCGAACCCTCCAATGTCAGACGGAAGCCCGCCGTCACTGATGATTACCGCGAAGACAACGATCCACACGATGCATGTCGCCGCATACACGCAGATGCGCATCCATTCTGGCAGCCGCGCGAGCAGACGCACAGGCAGCGTCTGCCAGCGCTCAAGAAAAGGCGTAATCGTATATCTGCCCGGCGGCTTCGGCCCTTTGACCCAGTCGACAACCTTGCGGCTCCAGCGAGCGACGGGCGCCGGCGTGCGTGCGCTGAACCTTTTCCTCCATTGCGGGGTATGACTGGCCTGGCGGTGCGGTGCGACGACTTCTAAGTTCTGACTATTCGGTGCGACGCGGTCGCGGGAAGGGTCGCGTTTGGTCCCATGCTCGAGGTCGATGGTTTCCGGCACCGCGCGCTCGGGCGTGTCGCGTGCGGCCATTCGGGGGGTACACGTGCGAAAAGAACGACGACAGCGGCTATGGACACGCGATTATCATGTTGCAGAAATGCCAGAATACGGACGATAAGTATGCGACAAGGGAATATCGACCTAGACTGAGGTGGCGCACGGCAAGCATCATCGACTCGGACGGCTGCTGGATTGATCCACTTCGCCGCGCCCCAGGCCTCAGAGGCTGGTTCCGATGCAACCGCGAGCTAAACACCCAGTGGTCCTCTGCTCTACAACCCCATTCCGGATGCGAGAATACCGCTGAATTACACCTCGTTGCGTGAGGCCGGATACGAGTGCCGAAGCCAGGCACAGCCACGCTCGTTGCATGAGTCTGCCGAGTCGGAGCTGAGCATGCCTCACATTGGCACCGCCGAAAATGTCGCGACAATTCCATAATGAAGAAGGCCATCATTACTGTTTCTGGTCGCGAGCAAAAGACGAATATTTCAGAACACTCTCCATGGCAAGAATGAACAATGCGCTGCTGTTTTATCCAGAGTACAAGTTATCTATAGATCTGACCTACATGAGCTGTCGGCAGGGCTACCGTTCCTTTTCTTGTATCATCAACCGGACGGCCTCCATCAACTAGATACGTACCACGCGGCCATCGCAGTGGCATCCATTGTTCAGACCGGTCTCGAAGTTCCCGCCGCATGCGCTACGTTTCGAGTGTCGACACAAACTTTGGCGTCCTCTGCGAAACAAGTGCACGTTTGGAGGAACCCCATGAAGCGGATACAATACCCCGAAAACCGTAGCTGGTGCACCACATGGTCTCAAATAGGCGACAGATCTCCCTGGTACAGGGATCGTGCTGGTCATGTTTGGTACGGAAAGGTCGCAGTGGGCGTTCTCTCGACCAACCGCATCTCATGGTAGCAGCCCACACCGAAACGTTCACCCGCTTCAGCACGTTTTTGGCATCTGGTACTTTTTGTATGGAACCACTCTTAGCCGGCTGGGGTATGGCACCCGCGTTACTGCCATTTCAACATCCTCGCGTGCTGTGAATTTTCCTCGCCTCTATGGGAATCTTACCTCGCAATGGCTGCACCGAGCAGACCATATGATACCCCACCGGTGCTGGTACGCCGTAATGATCCAAGGATGGCAGCTACGCCCATCGTAGTCGAGGGCAAGAATGAGGAGAATATGGACACGAACTCGGGGAAAGGCTGGACGAGATTTGAACAAGCGGATGCGAGCAAGAACGAACTTCCTGAAGGCCCACCACCGATGCCATCGTCACAGTCCCTGGACTCTCTCATGGGTACACAGGGTGTACTCCCATCGCAGTCCGGACAGCTCTCAACACTGGCCGTACCAACGCCTACCGATGGCCAGGGATCAACACTTCAAGCTTTTACCGCACCTTCGTCATCGATGAATGCCACCTCGACCTTCTCTCTTAACTTTGTAGCATCTACCATCCGGCCAACCCTTACTGTGCAAGCAGATGCTATCGCGATGAACGAGGCCATGACCATTCAACCTGCTTCAACTGCAGTCCCAGGACTTCTAGCGGACTCTTTCGTACAGGATGAAATCGCAGCGCTTCCCGGTGTCAATCAAGACGACCCGTCATTGGAGACAGTACCTGGAATGAACCAAGGTAAGCTCTTGATGAAGAACGCGCCTTGGAGATGTGCATAGAGTGTTGACTTTCATCTCTTTAGAAACTCCTGTACTGTTGACTACACCTGTAGTGACACCTCTCCCAACCCCTGAGAGTTCGACTCCATCTGCAACTTCGGCGATGACAGTAGGAAAGCCTATGCCTGGAAAGAATCAACCGAACCCTACAATGGATGTTTCTGCCGTGTCTTTCATGATTCTGAGCGACTCCCGTCCAACGGCTATGTCAACTATGTCGTCTTTGTCGGCAGTGAGTACAGCCACTGATTTCTCTACGAGTTCTTTCTCTCAGCCGCCGACACTGGTCATCTCGACTTCATCCCCGACAGCGTCTTCGACAACGACAAAGCCTTCATCGCTACCTCCAGTTCTCACTTTTGTCACCATCACGCGGACAGCAGAAGGCAAAGAAGACATCCGGCCATCCACTCAAACTATCATGGCGCCACAAGCTGTCACCACACGACAATCCTCATCCTCGGGGCTTCGAACATTGTCCCTAGCTTCCGGATCAGCGCTACCATCCAGTCTAGCCACCGCCGTTAGTGTCGAGCCACAGCACGGCTTGACACCCCTAGCAAGGACACTGTTCATTCTGTTCGGTGTACTGGGTGAGTACTGCATCACATCCTTACAGGACGAATCTAACATGAACACAGGCTTCGTTACGATCCTTCTCGCCATCGGTGTAATCTTGATAATGCGATCGAACAGAAGGCGCGCACAAGCAGCCCGACAACAAGCCGCTGGAAGCCCCGTCAAAGACATCGAAGAATACGATGGCTACGGCAACATAACCCGCGTGTCCGCCAACAGCTCAATCAAAAACTTCCTAACCGAACCCGAAAAAGCCATTGTGAACCGCGCCGCTACGCCAGACGGAGAACCCGATGTAAGCACTCTCCACCCCAGACCCAATACAACGACGCTAACGGTCTTCTTCAGGCAAGCACAAGACCCTCCAACGCCCTAACCGAAGCCATCAACTCCTTCATAACCAAATCGCGTCGCCTGACATACAAAATATCGCCCTGAAGACTTTATGTAGCGACGAACGGGTGGAATCAACACATGCTTGAACGGGTCACCAGCGCAACCTCGTACTATAATTGTTGCCAGGACTTGATAATCAACTGTACATAGCATGACAAGACTGTATATACAAGATGGAAATCGTTACAATAATCATACAACAAAATGGGTTTTGAGCCTCGACCTCCACACCACTGGCCTCACGTGTGTACCACCTAATCCGTAATATGTGTAGCCATACTCTACTCCAGCAAAGCCGCGCATGATACATTAGCTAGTACTCGAAGCACCTGCACTATCACGCCACAATCAGCACCTTCGGGAAAGCCGCTCGTTCCATCCATCTGGCTAGCGGAGTGACTAGTTTACTGCGGCGTAGCGGCGTAGTCCTTGCGGAAAGCGCTAGCGCTCGAAGTGCTTACCAGCATGAGCGTTAGTGGCTGTTAGTGCTGGGTTCGACGGACCCCACGCCGAACTTGCTACTTAGGGTAGGTTTGGGGTGGTCAGCTTTCGGGGGAGTGGGAATGGCCTGGGAGGGGGGTGGAGGGTTAGAGGGGAAAGGGTGTGGGGGCGGTGGGAATATGTGTTGGGTTTGGAATGGGCGAGGCTGAGAGTGGGTATGAGGGTGTGGGATGATCGATGCGGTGGAGGGTTGTCTTGTACAAGTGGAATGGGGGTGCATGTTGATTCCTTTGATACTCAGTTTTTGCCTGATTTCTGTAGACGCTGTAGAATGGTAGGTTTTGTCTGGCTTCCACAGACTTGGCGTGCCTTGTTCTGGGGTTGGTGTCATACGATACGGGCAGGCTAGCTACCTTGCAGCAGCCTTGTAAGCGTGCAAGACATCTTGACCAATAGCTTGTATGCGCCTCTTTTGCTATATGTGACAGGTGATGGCAAATGAATGAGTGAGTTGCTCATCGAATTGGGAAAAGAATCTACCGATACCCAAGGCAGATGACGTCCTGGCTAGGTAGGACCAAAGAACATCCTATAGTAGACGTGCAAGTACACAGTCTCCTCGCCAACTTGAGCATCTCCTGGCAATGGAAATCCCATCTTGTCTGTCTCTAGGAATCCTGCATCGGACATTAGTTTGAAGAATACCTCTTCGCTTGAGTGGCGCATTTTCATTGCGATGGCAATCCTGACTCTAGGGTTTGCTCTGGAGAGTCGTGCAAGCGTTTTGACTAGTGCGGGGCTGTAGTTGCAAGTTAGCAGTAGTCCAGGCATGTGAAGTGGGTGAGAGGAAGCATACCTGCTGTCTGGGTTGTAGGTGCAATCAGCAGCGAGAACAAGATCGAGAGGTTCTGAGCTGGTCTGTATTTCACCAGGTAACTCTGCATCCCAGTCCAGTTCCATGAACGCGAGTGATGCACCTGGTGCTTTGACCGCCGAGTCGATGTTACGCTCAACGATCTCTCTAGCCTCCGGAAGGTCGGTCAAGAGAACTTTCGAGTTGGAGACGGTCTGAGCGATTGCAATGCCGACCATCCCGCAGCCAGTGCCAAGTTCGAGCACATTCAGATGAGGTTCGGATGCAATACCATATGGTAATACAGCTTCTGTCAAGCTGGATCTTGGATTATGCAGAGCTGTCATTTGACATGACAGTGTGATACCAGCGTCCCTAGATATATAATCAGTACCTCGAATAGACTGTATTGCGATATGAAGATGCATACCATAGGTGCCTCGCTATGCTTTCTCCCGTCTCCTCCCAGATAGTAGTGATGGGTCCATCTGGCAGCTTGAACCGTCTTTCGACCAATTTCAGAGCATCTTGGTCTGATGCGAATGGTGGGCTCCAGGCAGATACAACACCCCGAGCACCTTTTTCTGCTATGGCTGCAAAGTCATCGTATGTTCGTTTCGGCTCCCCACCCACTCTTACTCGCAAACTGGAGTGAGAAGCTTGAGATTTAGGGAGCGGGAAAGTGATGGGCAGACTGCGCATGCCGGCTGTCCATTGCACGGTCGACCATACTATCACGCTTTCTTCTGACCCATCTGTAGTTGCTGACAACTCTGCTGCTAGCTGGATGTCGTAAGGGAGAAAAGAATCTCCAAGGTCTGAAGTAATGGTAATCAGACAGTGGACTTGCTTTCTCAACGTGCCCTTTTCAGCGACTACGCGGGGACTTTTGAGGAAGCGGACGTATCGCATGGTTCATTGTAGGATTGGTCGGAAGGGGCGTGCCGAAAGCAGCAAGACTGTGGGGGTGAAAGGCTGGATTGATGTGGGGTGCTGGGACGGCTGGCGCAGGGCTGGGGAATCTGAACCTAGAGCGCCAACCGAGCCGCATCTCATCGACCACGTCGTCATACCTCAGTGTGTCAGCGTGAATGCGCCTGCTGTCCTGTTGAAGCCAATGCGCTGTCGCATCGCAGCACTCTGCTGCTCCACGCAATACCCACCCGCTTCCACTGAGTGCTAGTCACCGTCGTCGTCATCGTCACCATGTACCGTCGCAGCGACCCGCGGTGGAATCGCACGCTCCATCAGATCACCGAGAACCTCGAGCACGCAAACGAATCGGCGCAGGAGAACATCTACGGCTTCACGCAGCGCTATGTTAATCCGTGCTTCTCGTCGATAACCCAATGCGTCAACGCGTGCACGGCGCCATGCTTCCCAGCGCACAACGACCGCCGGCGCAATCGCGGGCGGTCACGAGGCCGGGCAGAAGTCAGCTTTGACTTCTACGACGACTGGGAGGACGATGAGAACGACGGCCTCCTGGGCTGGGGCAGCGACAACCTCGACCGCTTCCTCGGCGGCGCTTCCAATTATGGCGCAACATCGCAGCCTGGCCGACAGAGCGGCATGAGTTATGGGCAGCGAAATCGCGACCCAAGATATAATACACCGCGCCGGAAAAGCACGACGTTGCCACGAGATGGTGCCCAAGACCCGACTCTCATCCCGAGTTCCTCGTACTTTGGCTTCTTGGGACGCTTGCCTTTCAAGATTGGCGGCAGAGGACTGCGATACAAGCCCTCGGCCGCAGACCTCATAGAGCACCCAGGCGCGACAAGAAGAAACCGTGAGGAGGAAGAGCCACTGATAGAGGATAGCGACGAGGATGCGCTCGACGGGCCCGAGAACAAAGGCCACCGCCGACAGCGAAGCAACACGCACACATCGGGCCACACAACCGACTCCCTCAGCTCGCGAGGCGACATCTTCCCGAGCGAAGACGAGCTCGAAGACGCCGTGCCCCTCGACGACGAATTCACCATCGCCCTCGAGCGCCGCACAACAGGGCAATGGAACGAAGACACGCCCAGCAGCAACAAAGCCCGCTCAAGCAAGAGCAAGCGCCCCTCCGCATCCCGCGTATCCACGCGCACGCTCTCCTCCCGCAACACAAGCAACTCGGACAAACCGCCCCTCTCCGCGCGCTCCGTCTCCGAAACAATCGAACAAGTTCCCCCCACGCTCGACGAACTCTCGAAAGAAGAGGAACGTCTTCGTTTAGAAGAGGAGAGGGAAGTCAGTCGCAAACGGCAGGAAGCGCAACAACTCGCCGTCAAGCGCGGGCTAGCGCCCGATCAACCTCTCACCAAATCTAGTACACCTCGTTCGGCGTCGCCAGCGCGATTTATGACAACGGTAGACTCGACTGTATCGCCACTTGTACGCACGCCCGCTGGCGAGACTGCGCCGTCAATCGACCAGAGCGATGCGATTCCTTTCCCGAGTTTCGTAGATACGCAGACGATGCCGGATAGTAGTGCGTTCTATGTGGATGAGAGCGATTACTCGAGTAAGGCTGTTACGCCCAATCGGCCACTGTCTATTAAAGACGAGGTGAGAGAGGAAGACGGAAGAGGGGGAGTTGGTCAAGAGCCATTTGTTCCGGCTAGGTTACCGCATTTTGGGTCTGGATAGACACTGGAATAGATGAAGAGATAGACGGGGATTGCTATAAGAAGGCATATATTGTACTGTTATGATGATATATAACGGGAACATGAAGAGACGCAGCGCGTAGCATGTGTTGTAATATAACGGTCTGAGCGATTCGATTCAATTCATCTTGTCAATATTACTATCGGTTGGCTAAAAGCCCATGTTGCCAAATGTAATCTGCTTCTTGGTCAACCCTTGGTATATCTCATCTAGCACGCCTCTCTTCCTTTTCTTATCCACCTCCTTCTCTTCCCGCTCCAATTGCTCATCCTCGTCTGCTTCAGCGTCTTCTTCCGTTCGCGGCATCCATGCCGCTATACCGCCATCGGCATGCGCAGAATACATCTCTACATGATGTGGCCGCCACGCTAGACTTGTGATTCTATCCTTGATATTGCGTTGTCCCTTTGCTGTTGCACCAGACGTGCTAGGTGGGTTGTTCGTCTGGGGCTGCTGTGAGCGGCGCAGACGGCGGATCAGCTTGCCGTCAAAGAGCTCGTAGCTAAGTGTCTCGTGCTCGTTGGGGTAGAACATGAGATCGGCACCTGGCTGGAGGTTCTGCGTGGGTGCAAGTACGGGGATACGCGGTGCAAGCCCAGAGTTCTTGACCATGGGGCCGAAGTTTGCGAGGGTATTGGCGCCGGTATCCGTGTCCCAGACGCGTATTCGCGCATCGTGGCCGCAGGAGACTAGGTGTTTACCGTCTTCTGTCCAGACGAGCCCGTTCACGGCGTCTCTGTGCGCTTGTGCGTTGGTAGAGTTGCGTGTAAACGACGCGGGCTTCCCTAGTATGCCGACTGAGTCCTCGAGATCCAGTACGCCCAGCTCACCGACGCTGCGGCGTACATCCCAGAAGCGTACACTGCCGTCTGTAGCGCCACTCACGAGAATGTGTTCGCGCACAGGGCTCCATGCTGTAGAGAGGATTGCGCCAGAGTGGCCCGCTAGACTGTGTGTGGTTGCGCCGGAACGCAGGTCAACGAGACGGACGTTGGGGTGTTGGGTGGCGCATGCGACGAGAAGGTGCGATGCGATAGGCGACAGGGCGATGTTGTACACGACCGAGTCGAGATCGAAAGACGCCGACGTCGCAAGTGTTTCGCTGGAGTAGAGCTTGACGGTGTGATCGTACGAGGACGTGAGGAAGGCCAGAGAATCGAAGGGATAGAATTGTATCTGCGTAATGCCCAGCTTGTGCTCTTCGCTCGTCTTGTTCACCGCCGTCAAAGGCAGATGTGTCTCTCCTGCCTCGGTTGCCGTGGTCTGCGCCTCGAGATCCCATACCGCGATGGAGCTGTCGGCACCTCCAGAAAGCAGATATCGCCCCTCGAACTTGTCGATTGTCAGCGAGTTTACTCCGGATATATGCGCCGGTATGCGCTCGCGTGGGTTGTCGGGAGCAGGTAGGTGCTGACTGAAGGTCACGGCGGAAGTCGGTTGCAGCGCGTAGACAAGACGGGAGGCGTAGGCGCGCTTAAGGACATGGTTGGGAATGAAGCCGTACGCGCGGTCGAGCACGTGTTGGGCGTTCATATGCGACTACATGCTTCGTGTGTGTTGGAGCGAGGGAAAGAAGAACCTTGGAAGGCGCAGAGGGTTCCAAGGTTATGACGTTGCAGCCTGGCGTCCACACGCGACAGGGATCTGCAGTCGCGAGACATTCACCAACGGGCGCTCAATCCTTGCAAGCGAGCCGCATACCTTTGCACTCCGCCTTACCTTAGCACAAAAACAACGAGAAACATTCCGGAGCTATCTTGCATGGCTGCTGTCAAGAAAAAGCTCAAGATTAAACGCACGAAATTTCGCAAGCGCCGATCTACCGTCTACGATGCCGTTAAACGTAAGAGACGCCCAAGTTCACCATTAAGACAGTTGATCTAAAGATACCTAGGCAGAGTCGCCCGAACTGGTCTGATTCACAACATCTCTGATCCCAAGGCATCCAGGAAACCACTTCGGCCAGACGAGGTACTCTTCAAGCGAAAGAATGCGCCCATCCGATACGAGGAAGATGACTATTATCCCGCTCACAACAAGTTACCTCCAGACCAAAAGCTGCCCAGTGGAGATCTGGCCACCGCAATGAAAGCCTACATCGAGAGGCTGTGGGCCAAAACTGGACGACGCCGCCGCTTCTCGCGCAAGCTCATGCGAAGGACGTGGAGAGGCCTGAACGAAACCGCGCTCATTGCTCTGTGCATCCTGATGGAAGAAACGGCGCGCGATGCACTGGGTGAGACGGGAGATTTGGCTTTTACCGAAGCAGCTGAGGAACATGAACATGAGATTCTCACGAGTCTGAAGAAGGCGAAGAGGGCGAAGAAGAGTGGTGCGCAGAAACAGGGTACCGGTAAAGAGAAGGAGCAGCCAAGTGTCGATAAAGAGAAGCAGCCGGTTGAAAAGAAGACAGGGAAGCATGTGACGTGGGTTTCATCCGATGAGGAGTCGTCCTCGACGTCGTCGTTTGATGACTCAGAGGAGTCGGACGACTTTGAAGAGGATCTGGATTGAGTATCACAATACGTGGAATGGCGAAATTCAGGAGTGAAAAGTTATCATTTCGACCTGGAGCCAAAAGATTCGCAAGGAGGACTTGATGGGTCAAAGATGATGCCATATGTGTATCACCGCCTTGTAGGCCCGTTTGAACGCACATCTCTGATCTTCACGCCGTAATGTTCGAGTTCTACTGCAGAGAGGAGATTACTGGGTGTCGTAGACGAGTGACAATAGTGTTGATGCGATCGAGGTTCTAGCTGGGCTGAGGTCGTGCCTGCCTCCTACCACAGCCGGGAGCCTAGCGTGCCTTCCTTCAAGCGGGAAGACGCGATCAAAAGCGCGCTCGTATCTCGCGGCCTTAGTCTTACACACAATCGTCGCGGTCATCGTTTCTCGTTCTTTCTTGCTACTTCACTCCCGCTGCAAGAGCATTTGTCTTCTTAGTCGGCCGAAAATGGTCAGTTCAGACATGATTCCCACTCAAGCACTCACTAACACTAGCAGGCACCCAAAACTCAGCCCAACCCGCAGAAGGCGGCATCCATTCTTGCCTGGTTCCATAAGACGGCACAGGCTCATAGCATCAAGGACCTCGAAAAGACGCTGCCACAAGTCTCCTCCATCAACGGCATGCAGGTCAAGGACTACCTCCAAGCACTCTCAGACGACAACAAGATTCGTGTCGAGAAGATTGGCAGCGGCAACTGGTACTGGAGCTTTCCAGCCGACGAAAATAAAGCCAAAGATGCTGCTCTCAAGAAGGCCCAAGAGGAGTTTGACAAGGCCACCGCTACTGTAGCCGAACTTCAGGCGAAAGTGGATGATGCAGGTGCAGCTCGCGCTGATGACGAGGAGATGCTCATGGAGACAGGTAATTACCAACCTACCATGTGTTGCACTCATGCTCATCACTCGCAGGTGGCGACCGCAAGACACTGATTACGAAGCATTCCGACCTCACCAGAGACCTCGAGAAGCTCAGAACTGAGCTAGCCGCGTACAGCGAGCAAGACCCCGTCGAGATGGAGAAGAAAGCCGCCGAAACTCAGCAGGCTCATCTTGATGCTGAGAAGTTTACCGATCAGATTTACGCCATGCAGGGCTGGCTCAAGCAGATTATGTATGGTGGCAGCGGAGGGGATGACTATCTGCAGACACTGAGGTCCTTCTATCAGGATGAGTTTGATGAGGAGGAGCTAGGCTTACGTGAATTGTGAGACATCACGTATAGAGGATCGGGAAGTCTGTGGCGTGAATTTTCGGAGTAGCCATAGAGTAGGCTACAGTATGTCTGTGCACGTATAGCGGTATGGCATAATTACGGCCATACAGACAATATAGAGTACAATCATCTCGACTCATCCGAGCGACTGCTGCGCCATGTTCGGTCTGGGAGTACTTGAGTCATGTTTGAGCATGGGCCATCTCCAGGGCTAACAGCTTTCGCTTGTGAAGGGCGTCATCGCAAGTAGCTTTCGCCAAACCACCAACAAAGGCCTACCGTACAAAGAGGCCTCGGCCGCCTGCTTCTGCCTGACCATTCAATTTCGCACAACTGTCCGGAATCGTCCACACCGCCAATTCTCTATACCGACCCCCTAAACCAATAACAATACCCCGCGATGGCCTCGACAGGCGCCCCAGAAACCCCGCAAGTTCCTGCAAGCCCGCAACGGAGAGGGGGGAGAGGGCGTGGGCGCGGCAGAGGTGCACACGGTGGAGAAGATGGCCACGAGAACTTTGGAGGGCGAGGCCGTGGACGGGGCGGCTTCCAGAGCCGCGGGCGAGGTCGCGGCAACAGAGACGGCGCGGGCACTCGCGGTGGACACGCGCCGGAGAAGGGCAAGGCGCCTGCCATAGACACAGAAGAGAGCGGACATGCTCCACCGACTCTCGTCAAGCCCAACCTTCAGCAATCGGACAACGAAGACGACGATGCCGAAGTCTGCTTCATTTGCGCCTCGCCCGTTCAACACACAGCCGTCGCTCCTTGCAACCACCGCACATGTCACATCTGCTCCATCCGAATGCGGGCCTTGTATAAAACAAAGGCCTGTGCACATTGTCGAACCGAGTCGGACCACGTTATCCTCACAGACGACGCCGAGAAGAACTACGAGGACTTCTCCACCGCCGAGTTTTTCAAATCCGACGATACCCTGGGCATACACTTTGAGAACTCTGGCGTGTTTGAAGACGCGCGATTGCTGCTACAGTACAACTGCCCCGACGGCGAGTGCGATGTAGCCTGTCTAGGTTGGCCAGACCTGCATCGTCATGTCAAGACGGCGCATGGAAAAGTCATGTGGTGTGTACTCTGCCGTTCTGAACAAATGATACTGGCTAACATGATAAAGTGACCTCTGTACGCGGAACAAAAAGGTCTTTACCCACGAGCACGTCCTATTCACGATGGCCGAGCTACGACGGCACCAGAAGTTTGGCGACGATAATCCTGGAGCAATAGATCAAAGCGGATTCAAAGGGCACCCGGAGTGCGGTTTCTGCAACCAGCGTTTCTACGGCGACGACGAACTATACACCCATTGCAGAGATAAGCACGAGCGCTGCCACATTTGCGACCGCCGGGAGGGAGGAAGCAGGAAACAACAATACTACGTCAACTACGATTCGCTCGAGGTGCACTTTCGGAAAGACCATTTTCTCTGCCCAGACCGAGAGTGTCTAGAGAAAAAGTTCGTCGTGTTCGATTCTGAGATGGACCTCAAGGCGCACCAGTTGGAGGTGCATCCCAACGGTCTTTCCAAGGACGCTTTACGGGATGCCCGGAGAGTCGACATGTCTGGCTTCCAAATCAGGGCGCCTCACGAGCAAGGTCAGGGTAACAACAGGCGAGACGAGCGCAGACGCGAGGGCGGCAGAGGCCGTGGACGCGGACGGGATCCGAACGCTGAGCCAGTACCTGCGTCGTCTGCGCAGCCCTTGAGCAGAGCAGAGCTTGCTTACCAGCGGCAGAGGGAGGCTCAAAACACTCATTCAGTAACAGGAAGAACTTTTGGGGGCCAGCTCTCTGCGCCAACTCCAGGCGAGGCGTTCGCTGCTAGACCTCCTCCAAGCGCCTCAGAGCCTCCTACCGTTACTGCGTCGCGCCCAACCCCAGCGGCTGCCAACAATATCACAAATGGTGTCGCACAACTAAGCATGGACACCCAACCACCCAACCCAGTTCCACAGACACCCCAGGACCAGGCTAGACTGTTGCGTCACAACGCAGTCACGGAACGGGCCACAAACATGCTTCGAGGTAGCGAGATCAAGCTGCAAGAGTTCAGAGCCGCGGTATCGGCCTATCGCAACTCCAAGGTATCCGCGCCACAGCTCATCGACGGGTTCTTTGCGCTATTCGACGCTAACTCGAAAGAGATGGGGAAGCTGATCAAAGAATTGGCAGACATTTTTGAGATGCCAGGGAAGCGTGAAGCTCTATTGAAGGCTTGGAATGATTGGAAGGCTATCAATGAGGACTATCCATCATTGCCTGGCTCTGCGACAGGCTTGAACGGCGGATCGACTGCGCGAGGAGGTTCACGGGTACTGAAGCTGAAGAGCTCAACAGCGCAATCGTCTCGATCCACGGCCAATCAGCAGGCCAGTTGGTCGAACGCATCGTCGAGCAACCCATTCCCAGCTTTGCCAGCACCTTCGGGTCGTGTCGGTGCGAAGCCCGGACAAACGCCTTGGGCCTCCTCATCTGCCGCAACGAGCGCGCGCCCCTCGCCCATGCCATCGCGAGTCGCATCATCAACAAACGTAAACAAGAAGCCTGCTGCCGCAGACGCCTTCCCAGCTCTCCCCGCAGCAGCCAAACCCACCAGCACAATCTTCAGCCCCGGCTACACTGGCCACGGTCTACGACGCGACAACAGCGGACGCAACACTCCAGTGAGTAACCCTTGGGCTGGCCCATCCGGCACGAACAGCGGTACATCAACACCGGCTTTGGAGGATGCAGGAGTGGCAGGGAAGAAGAAGGGTAACAAGGGCAAGAAGCAGACACTCTTCCAGTGGGGTTAGCGGGTAGAATGTAGAGCACCTGATCTAAGTAAATAATCCAAATATCTACATTGCCTTGGTACTTCGTCCTTGTTCGTTGTCGAAGTGATGTAGACTTTAATGCGCCTGTTGAATTTCCTCCTTGCATAAGGTGGGTTCACTGATAGCATAGCCTGAAGGTATTCAATATGTTGTAGGTTGTGTATCGTCATTCGAGAGCACCGTGTATTATACATCACTTCATTTGACAGAACACTCACATGAGCAATAGTAAAGAAATTTGTGAGATAGAGATTTGTTCACATGCGATACCTACAGAAAACCGCTCACAACGTATTGATAGAAACCCCCAAGAAGGCCAAAATTCCAAAACGCCAACCCAAAACATGCATCCATAATCCGTAACCTGCCAACGACCATGCCGTCAACCCGTATGCCTCTCACCAGCTCTCACTCCTCATCAAACTCAGCCTGGTTAGGCACCTTGGGGCCATCTTTGCGAATGGGGATCTTGATACCCTGCTGCGCAAAGCACTTGCTGAGCTTGGTGCTTTCAATGACACCGGGAAACTTCTTGGCGGAGTAGACCGTGAAGGGCTCGGTGAAGTCGTAGGCAAGGCATGGGCCTTTACCTTTGCTGCCGTCGTTCATGTGAATCGTGCCGTTGGTGCCGTCGTTGGAGCCAATGTCAAAAAGGCTGAGCTTCAGCCGGAAGGTGCCCTCGGTGCGCACACTCAAATCCTGTAGTACGAACCAAAAGCCAGGTTTTTGCTCGAGATCTTGAAGACGGCATGCATTGACAGCGTTCATGCCAATGAGATTGCGGGTGTGGTTTGATCCCAGGGGTGTTGCAGGAATCATTGTGTTGGTCATTTGCACAGGGGGCTGCCCGTACATTTGTTGCGGGATGGGGTAGCCCGGTGTTTGCGCCTGCCAGTATCCATTTTGGCCCGGAACGGGGTTGCCACCGTAGGGGACCATGTGCTGCTGCGGCATGCCACGGGAGTCGTACTGAACTTGAGCTGAGAACATGTGGTGTGTTCGCTCGGGCGGCGGAGGGTAAGAAGTAGTGGTGCTACTTGATATCGACACGGTCGGCGCCGCGCTACTGTGTCTCACCAGGTTGACGGCATTGGCTCCCTGCGCGTCGTAGAGGTCGACCATGAGCACGAAGTAGGTGCTGTCGATGTCGTTGAAGGGGACCTCTTGTCCCGTGTGGGTGTCGTAGACGACCAAGCGGACGCAAGGCGGGGGTGTGATCGGCCTTCGATCCTTGTCACCAAAGCCGCACATGCGGGCTCGGATCGGTTGCTGTTCAACAACCAAGTTGTATTTCCTGGCGGGTTTCGCCATTGTCTGCTGTTGCTGAATTGGCTCTGGGCGGCCAGTGCTGGTCCTGGAGTAGTTGTTGTAAGACATTTTGGCGTTGTGATGATGATGTCTTGTTGTTGATTGGATGTTGGGTGAGAGATGTTCTGGGTGAGATTACCGGACGGGCGTGCACAAGCTATATACTCTCCCAAGATTTAGGCGATGCGGAAGTGCGCCACGGGCCAACGCTACCTACAGACTCACCACTACAACCATGGTTCAGTATCGAGGCATAGCCCTTGCAAACGTGGTCATTAAATCACCTTCACTGTTAATAAATCAATGCCAAAAAGGCTCATCGAGTAGGATTGAAACGGGAATATTTCTATAGGGCCACGCAGGTGAGGGGACCACAGCTGCGGGTCCCAGGCTTCAGCCACCTGGGCATGATCGGCGTTAGTCTCCGGCGCTACCCAACCCATGGGACACCTCATACACGACAAAACTAAACACGTCTGCCGACTACGTGAAGACAAAAACCCGCAAAGTGTGTGACTAACCTCAACGTAGGCTCTAGGGTGTTCATTGTTTTATTGGGTTGACGTGCACATGTTACACTCAAACCTTTTGAGTCAACCAGGCGTGTGCGCCCTTTTCAACATTGGCTGCACTGTTCGCTCGGCTCCACAATCGACCACGCTCAACCACAGTACGGAGCAGGCTGAGCAACTTTGAGTTGAACTGTTCTCTAGCTATCTTTCGCCGCTTGAAGTTGAAGCATCTCCCGAGGTAATTCAACGCACAGACTGGACACGTGCCCTGAAGACTACGTAGGTGTTCAACGCACCAACTGCAAAACCTTGCCGCCATGTACCATGAGCGAGGACAACGAACACTGACAATGCCATATTGTTAAGCTTTCCTATTGAATGCATGAGCCCATCCTCATACTTTCGACCATTTCAACAAGACTGCCGCCAACACTACCGGCAGTACACTGACCAGCTCTCCCAAACCAGCAAACTCCGGCGGTATTCTCGCATGCACGAACGCGCCCGCACCTAATAAAACAGCGAAAGTATTGTAAACGAAGCTCCATCCGAAGTTGAATGCAACTCTGTGTATCGCCTTCCTACTCACATTGATGATAGTTAGCACACCCGAAAGGCTGGGACGGACAAGGACGACATCAGCAGCGGATTGCGCGATGTCAGTTCCGCTTGAGACATGGACGCCGATAGTGGCTTGAGCAAGAGCAACGGCATCGTTCGTCCCATCGCCTACGAACATTACGATGGGCTTACGAGACTTGCCATTCGAGGAAGCTGTTGAGGGTGCTGCGAGCAGATCCTTGATATACGTTTGCTTGTCTGCAGGCGAACAACGAGAACGGACAGTTTCATCTAAGACATTGAGCTGCGCGGCAATGGCTTTAACAGCGCCGCCGTCATCGCCAGAAAGAATGTGAACACTGATACCGCTGCGTCGGAGATGGTCGATAGTAGAGGCTGCATCGGGTCGTAGCGTGTCTTGCAGACCGAAAACTGCTACGAGCGCGTTGTCGACGGTGAAGCAAACCGTGGTGAGGCCTTCGGATAGCATGGAACGGACGCGCGGATCGTCGGACAGCTCGAGCCATCTCGAGTTACCGGCGCGCAGCTTCTGGCCATCAACCGTTCCTTCAACACCTTTACCAGTCACAACTTTAGCATCTGATACCGCTAAAGCAGACACTCCCTGCGACGCGAGATGTGTGGCGATGGCTGCCGAGACGGGATGTTTAATGTTCTGCAGCAGACCCAGCAAGAGACGCTTCGCTTCCCCGCCCACCTCCGCATACTCCTCCCGCACCACTGCCAGCTTCCCTGCCGTCAAAGTACCAGTCTTGTCGAATACTACATCCGTGGTTTTGTATGCGACTTCGATGCTGCCCGCCGTCTTGAAGACTACACCGCGTTTCGCCGCGACACCGGATGCGACGACGATGACCATGGGGACCGCGAGGCCGATGGCGCAGGGGCATGAGACGATCAAGACGGTGATGGCATATGTGATGGCTTCGATGGTTGCTTCGGAGCCTGATTGATGCCGTATAGCGACGCCAATGGCGACCCAGATGACGAACGTGATGATTGTCAAGGCGACTACAACGGGAACGAAGTAGCTGGCCACGGTATCGGCAATCTCTTGGATCTTGGGCTTGGAAAGCTTTGCTTCGTCAACCATGCCTGCGATAGTCGTAATGGTGTTGTCACCGGGCAATCGAGTAAGGCGTACGGTGAGCGTTCCGCTTCCGTTGATTGTACCAGCGATGACGGGGGACCTGGCGTGCTTCTCTACGGGTTGGGCTTCTCCCGTCAACATCGACTCGTCGATCTCAGAAGAGCCGGAGACGACGGTACCGTCCGTGGGGATGCGCGAGTCTGGTGCGATCTTGAAAGTATCTCCGTATTGCAGCAGCCTGGCATCGATCTCTCGCTCTTCTGCATCGTCGACTAGCAAGGCAGTAGGAGTTTGCAGGGAACGGATGCTGATGGACTCTGCCGCCTTTTGGCGCGCCAGCGATGCCACCCAACGACCGACCATGATAAGAGTGACCAGCAGTGTACTCGTCTCGAAGAACTCGCCCGTCAATAGAGGTTTTCCACTGACCAAGAAGCCAAAGGAAACAACCGAAAAGATATACGCGGCGCTTGTACTCAGGACGATGAGCAGATCCATCTCAATGACCTTTGAGAAGACCAAAGCCTTGAGAGCCTTGGGATAGAAAGGTCCAGCGATTACAACTTGAACGATAGTTGCAAGTGCAAGCGACGCGGAGCCATACGCGATCTCGCGCTCTGGAAGAGGAGCCCATGCCATGACTAACACGGGAATGGTCAAGATGGCAGAAAGCAATGTCAGCAAGCCCATGTTGCGGACGTGTCTGCTACCAGCTTCCAAGGAAGAATCGGGACACGGTGGTGCAAGTTGCAGCGATTGGCTCCAGTCGTCGCTCATCAAGTCCCTCGCTCCTATTATCTTCGCATCGTAGTCCGCGCGTATAGTCTGTTTGCCCAGGCGACGCACATCCAGCACTCCCTCCGGCCACTGTCCATTGATCAAAGCTGAAAGGTCGCCCGAGCAGACGAGATCCAGACTACAGCCTTGATTCGACACGATCTCGCATTTGAATTCGGTGGTGCGGTGCAGGTGTTTGACGACATCGTCGGCGGTCGCGAGGTTGGTGTTGATGTCTAGCTCGACGCGCGCGAGGACGAGGCTGGTTTGCAGTTTGCTGATGTAGTTCAGACTGCCGAGGGTTCGCTGGAGCTTTGTTTCGCATCCTGTGCAGGTCATGCCTGAGACGCTGATGGCGATGTGTTCGCGTGCGACGCCGCCTTTTTCGATGTCGATGTTGTCGCCTGCTATCTCGGTGGTGTTCACCGCAGCCGCTTTCTTGTTGCTGCAACATTTCAACGCGTCTTTCGGGGGACAGCAAGATGCTGGTTGGGGGGTTGAACACTCCTTCGGTGCCGATGTGCAGCAGGAGGACTTTGATGGGGATATGGCGGTCTTCACACCGTCAGTGTTATCGATTGCGCAACAGCTGCTGGTACAGGTTTCTCCAGAGATGCTTTTGCTATCATTTGCGCAGCAGTCAGCCTTGGTCTTGCCAATGCAGGAAGTTGGTGCAATCGTTTTGTTCGAGCTGCTGCTGCCACACCCTCTCGTCTCGGAGTTCACCGGCGTAGACGATGTACAGCATGAGGTCGTCGGCTTCGGCTTCGCGGGTGCCGACGATGAGCAACATGAGCCTTTCGGCTTCGAGGCTATAATTTCCGATGATGAACCGCAGGAGTCTGTCGGCTTTTGCTCTTCGGGTGCTGATGAAGAGCAGCAAGACTGGGATGCTTTCGAATCTTGAAGAGCTGATGGTTCACAGTATGAGCTGGACGGCGTTGTGTTCTCATGTGCCGATGTTGAGCAGCACGACATGCCCGGCTTGGCTTCTTCCGCTGGCTGTGTCGAAGCACAAGGCGCTTTCGCTCCTTTCGATTGCGGAGTTGTTGAATATGAGCAGCACGAAGTCTTTGGCTTTGTTGTTGCATCCACGAGGTTGTTGACGCTAGCGCGAGAGGCAATAGGCTCAGAACTAGAAGAAACGAGTGTTGCATTCACTCCGGGCTGGGTAGTCGTCATCGCGCTGCTCGACGTGTCTGTCGACTGCTCGACGGTAACTGCAGAAGCGACATCTGAATTCGCGGTGGGTGTTGTGGCCGCGTCCTTGGGACCACAGCAACCTCCTCCGCACGCCATGGTGAAGTCGTTGGTTGTCAAGGTGAGGAATCGAAGGTAAATTGCAGTGAAGCCAACGATCTGGAGAGTCGGACTCTACACTTGGTGTATGGGGCGTGTTGTTTATCTCCAGATATGAAGAAGTGGCGGTATACCCGTTGAAGTTGCCCCTCAAAAAGTCGATATGTCACTGCTTTCACACTTTGCACCTGCACTACCCATTCGCTTATCTGGCGCTGTATCACCAATAACTAATCTTCTCACCAATCTAGATCTGCGCTATTTCGAACGGACTTGTGCAGGTAACATAACCTCAGTGGAGGAAGAAGGCGCAACCTGCGCGTAAGAACAATGACCTAAGTCGACAAGCTTAAAGCAACGAAACCCAATGGAAGGAAGAATGTATACAACTTTTATTCTTTCTACAAGCTTCTGAAGCGTTCTAACTTCCGCCGATAAGGGCTCAGACTAGCTCGCATTCGATCAAGCTCTCTTGCGAGTGCTTAACGGTCCAGACACGGACGATCTTCAATCCGAGCTCAGGTGACTCCAGCAGCTGACTCCATTGCGAATACGTCCGCTCCTTCGAAGAAAAAAGGGTGATCATCATCATATCCAAAGCAGTGGCTTGCCAGTCCGCGCCCTTGTCTGGAATGACGTTTTCGTTGATAAGCAGTTTGCTGTAGCCTCTCTTCATGGCGCCAGCAACTTGCTTCAAGATGCTCTTGCACACGTCGTCGGGCCAGTCGTGTAACACCGAGTGCATGTAGTATGCCTTCGCCGCTGGGAATCGATTAGCATCTGACGGGGAACTCTGCAGCTCCTAGACG